CTGATTATATTAAAATATATAATAGATTTCTAAATTTAGATATTAATATTTAATAGTATGAGATTTTAGTCTTGACTCCAAAAAACAATTACAATATCAATCTATATTTAAAAATTGAAATTTCATACTATTAAATATTAATATCTGTTTCCCCAAAAATCCTCTAGTGACATCGCACGTGTGAAATCTGGATGTGGACCTACCACTTATTTTGTTGAAAGTAAGAAAGGACTTTCCCAATGACCCCCTCATTTCTCACAGTCGACCTCTTTGCAGATGGCGGGAAGAACGTTGGATTAAAATTGAAATCTGCACCTACAGACGATTTGCAAGAGGAAGGGATACCTTCCTGTAGAATGAGTTACGAAATCAACCTTGGACAACTCCAAGAACTTAAACACTACCGTGACTTAAAATTAACAAATCCTAATTGAACTAAATAGCTTGCAGTTTAAAATAAATTTGTGAGAATAAAATATATTCAAATTAAATTAAATATGTTTATTGTTAAATTAAAATGCTATATACTGGCAGGTCTGGAAATTAAAATGCTGCAGAATTAAAGATTTTACCCTAATTAACATTAAAATTAACGTGAACAGTGATTAAACTAACATGCTTGAAGTTGAAAACAAGTGTGAACGCCATATAAGTAATCATTGAAAAAATGCTACTTATCATAAACATCAAATTAACTACAGACAGAAAAGGAACAGTACCTTGAATAATTTTGAAAGATTGAAGTTCATTGCATGAAAAGAAATTGTTGAACTAAATACATGAATTAATTTACCTACTGGAATGATGAAAAATAACCTAGATCTATTGGAATTTTTGTTGAAATCCGAAATCTGAAAGCAATTGCAGAGACAATAAAGTCTGAAAATTTGTAGATGTTTGAGTAGGGTTGACCGTGTGTTCTTCCTTCCAAAATTTCCTTTTTATTCTCCTTTGGCCAGCAGTAACCCTCTACTTTCTGTAGTTACAAAGTTGTGGGTGGTTTATTGAGGTAGTGGGATAGCTCACCTATTGACTTGTTCTGATCTCCTTCTAGATTTTCGCCACCTGTGCCTTTATCAGATAAAACCCCTCTTTAAATGCAATCCTCTCCTATATTTTAGCTTAAACAGTTTCTTTTTGCCTCAAAGAGATCATTACACAGTAAAATCTCATTTTTATCTCCCATTTTTTACCAAAATGACAGCTGATCTGTCATGAGACCCAAAATCACGAATCTGATATGACTTAATCTCTTCCATCCATTTAAAAAATTTTGACACGCGGCGTGATCCTAAATTTTTGCAATTTATGGCGTAAATAATATCTAAATTTAAAAACTCATTATATATT